TCCTCCTCCTCCTACTCCTCCACCTCCTCCTCCTCCTCCTCCTCCTCCGCCTCTTCCTCCGCCAAAGCCCATCTGGCCTCTGCTGGGAGGGGGCCAGATCTGTGTCGCGTCGGGTGATCGATCGGTCGCTCGCGCGATCACCAGCGACCAGGCCGCCCAGGAGGCCGGGCTCACGCGAGCCGCTCGGCGCCCCTGGGGGGGTGAGGCACTCCGTGCCTCGCCAGCCTCCCCCTGGGCCCGATTGGCGGCCGCGCGCAGCTCCGCCGCCGCCGCAGCGCCGCAGCAGGCGGCCCGCGGCGGGAGACGGCGGCCAGGGAGCCAGCCTGGCATCGGCGGGACCGCCAGCGCAGGTCATCGGCGCGCGTCCTGGTACGAGTGCTGGACGCCGCCTCGAGGCTCCAGCACCACCACAGCGCGCAGCGCCCCCGCTACGAGCCCTACAACGCAGAGGACATGGGGCGCGGGGGCTACCGAGGCCAGAACAGCGGCAAGGGCAGCCACTCTAGCGGGAAAGGCAGCTCTTCGGCCACCACGTGGTCATGGACGACATGCAGGCACTGCAGCGAATGGCACTACAACGGAGACTGGGCCAAATGGAACTGGACATGCTCATGCGGCCGCAAGGTGAAGCAGCCCAAGAAGAACCCCGCCGACGACAAGGGCGGCGGCAAGAGCTCCAAGGGCTACGACGACCAGCAGCAGCAGATGGCGGACGCTCTAAGGGGCATTTCAAGCTCCCTGGCCAGCATGGGCATCACCAGTGGGCCCGCGGCACAGCTGAAGGCAGTCGCCGCTGGCATAGCACCGCAGACGGAGGAGCCAACACAGTCGAGACCACGGCAACTGCGCAATGCAGCATCGCGACTGGAGCGTACCAACGACAAGTAGGAGAAGGCCGATGAGGAGGTGACGGCCACACGCAAGACTCTAGCAGAACAGCAGGCACGCTTCATGGAGTGCGCCAACGCAGTGATCGAGGCCGAACAAGCGGCAGCGGAGATCACAGGCGTCAAGCCACACACCAAGGTCAAGGAGGCAGACACGCCGAAAGGCAACCTGGTGCAGACCATCCTGGACCTGGACTTGGAGGGCATTGACAGCCTGGGACTCGACTACGACCTCGACGACGACGACGGTGAAGAGTACGACCACGACGCACGCGCCGCAGTGGCGGACGTCAAGCGACAGCTCCTCCAGTCGTACAAGGACAACGCTTCGACGTACATGCAGGGCTTACGACAGCATTTACAGCAAGCACGAGACTCCGCACGGAAGAACCGAGAGGAGATACGACAAGCTGCGAAGAAGCGCAAGGCGGAAGGCGGAGCCACTGCCGTACCGCCACCACAACCACCACCAGCACAAGACGCTCAGCAGCAGACGCCAGCACCCACGACACCATGGACCCCGCGGACTGCCGCCATCGCCAGCAAGTCCAAGGACGAGCTCCTCGAGGAGGTGCGCGCCAAGGCCCGCCAGGCCGAGGCAGCGCAGCCCGAGGGGGGTCCAGAATAGTCGTCACGCAGCTCCCGTCGCAATGCCGACCTTAGCGGCGACGCGGAGCGCAAAATCTTTGCCGGCAATTGCACGGAGTGGGTGGGGCACTGAGGTGAAGGAGTTTCTGGCAGACGCAAGAAACACCAAGCGGTTCGACGCCTTCGCCATTCAAGAGACCCACTTGCGTGCGCGCAGCATAATGGATGCAGAGAGGGGCGTGATGAACATGGGGTGTGCGGCCTCCTTCTCACCAGCACGACAGTCCTCCAAGAGCGAGGGCGGCTCCAATGGAGGCACCTGCGTCGGCATCCTCTCCCACCACCAGAGCGAGTGTTTCCGCGAGCAGGCAGCAGAAGGCGCGGCATCGACCACGACAGCGGGGCTACTCAACTTACCGCACGGCAGCCCTCAGCACCACTTTTTGGACTGGGCACCCATGTGCTGGCACCTCCGCGGCTTCAGCCTCCTGGTGATCGGCGTATGCCTGGACTCCGCGGCCAGCTTACGCGGAATCACTTGCATCGCTGGCAGCGTTTGTGACGAGCTGCCGACGCCCATGGATTGCAGTGGGCGACTGGAACACCGCGCCAGAACGACTATGGGCATCGGGCTGGCCACAGGCTATGGGGGCAGACATCGCCGCCATCCCAGACGGCTACACATGCTTCGCCTACAACAGCAAGAAGGGCACTACCTCGTCTTCGCTCATCGACTACGCGCTGGTCAGCCACGACGCCCGCAAGTACTTCATCGGCCTGGAGACCGCTGCGGCACCGTGGAAGACACACGTAGGGCAGACGCTGAGGATGCGAGGTGCCGCCAAACCAGCCACCATCCGTCAACTTCAGCTTCCAGCCCACTTCGCGCACCCACCCGCCCCTCCAAAGTCGCCCGACCCCAACAGCGAGCGGCAGAGGGACAAGCGACAGCGACCGATGCGTGTTTCTGACGGGGCGCAGCAGAGTTCCGACGGCCAGCGCCAGCAGGTACCAGACGCACCCGACTTCAGCACCCAGTACTACACGGACCTCACGAAGGAAATAAACATGAGATGGTCAGAGTTCGGTATCTCAGCATCGAGACCGCCAGCATCGACCACGCTCAACAACATGGACAACCAAGATCACGACCCCGTGAAAGACATCGACCAGGACTGCCACTACGACACAGGCGCCAGCCAGCCCTTCGACGAGCCGCCCTGCGACGACGAGGAACAGGGGGGCGACGGGGAGCTGGGGCCGATAACGAGCGCACCTGAGAAGGCGGACAGGACGCCGTCTCAGGAGCCCTCCCTTCCAGGTGCGAAGCTTGCGAACTTCGTGGACGCTCGCGTCCTGGGCGACTTGTGGCAGGTAGCTCGGGTGACTTCCAGGCCTCGTCCCGTGTGCGAGCAGCCGCCTGACTACATCAGCCACGGAGCCGCTTACGTGGCCGACCCGCGCGCGGCCAACGCACTGGGGCAGGAGTACGGCAAGTTCGTTAATTCCATTGGAACCTTCTACTGCGCCGCCTACGCTATCCAGCCCCAGGACAGACACCGCTACACAGGAAGAGGCATGGCGAGGAAGATGGCATCCACGAGAGGCGCGCCACGCACCAGACGCACGCACTACATCAACCAGCAGTCCGACTGGTGGCGGCGACTAGCCACCACACTACGGGCTCACCTCACATCGCGACAACGCGGACACGGCGTGCGGCAACAACACCAATTGGAGGCCGCAGCACGACAACTAGTTTATGAAGGCATCCCTACTGGTGGAGCCCGACTTAACCCAATTTCCTACCAGCACCGTGACTTCTGGGCCGACCGACTACGGCGGCTGCCCAACATCGGAATGGACATGCTACAGGGAATGACGGACCAAGCCGAACGCGAAGTCCAGAAGGCCCTGGAGTTCGACATGCGCGCCAGATCCCGCAATTTCGTGATCTGGCCCACCGGCGCTACGAAGGCCACCCCAGGCAAGCTGCACCATATGACCAAACCATAGCCACGACACGAAGATGAGTACGTCCACGTCCGAGGCAAGGCCTGCTGTCCTCGGTCCATCACTGACGCCAAGACCGACGAGTTCAGAGAGCTTTGGCAGCACCCAACGCTTTCACACCAGGACTATGTGGCCATCATCATCGACGTAAAGGACCACGCAAGCACAGCTCCAGTCACACAATGGACCTTGGACGACTTGGGCTACTCGCTGCGACGGTCCCCCGGCAAGGGCAAGGGCACCGACAAAATCACATGCTCGGACCTGCGACGACTCCCGCAGGCGGGGCGACAGCAGCTGGTGGATCTGTTCAACAGCTGCGAGCGCGAGCTGGCTTGGCCATGGGAGCTACAGAGTGCTGCCATCATGCTGCAGCCAAAGACAGAGGGCGACAGGGCGCTGGGGCTACTACCGCAGATATGCAGGGCGTGGGAGAAGCTCAGACGGCCAACAGTGGACACGTGGATACGTGTTGCAGGTCGGCACTGGGGCGCGGCCCTGGCAGGTGGCAGCTGCCTACGAGAAGCCGCCGCGCGCATCCTGGGCGACGAGATCTGTGACGCACTCCAGCTCGCGCACGCCACCACTTTGGCAGACGTCAGAAGGTGCTATGACACGCTGGACATCCTGCAAGTGGTGTACGCGACCAGGCACATGTGGTTCCCTCCACGGGTACTGGCGCTAGAACTCCAGCTCCACACCTTCGTGCGCTTCCTACGACAAGCATCGACATGCGGTCGGCCAATCCTACCTTCTCGCTCGCTGGTTGCAGGATCCTGACATGCAAATAACCTCGCCAGAGCAGTCATGTACCAGGGGCTCTACTGCATGCACTGACAAGTCCCAGCAGCGATGCCCAGTGCATGGTTCGACGATGTGGATCTCCGAGCGACAGGCAGCAAGCAGCGGGTCACCGATGCCAGTATCCAAGCAACCACCACCTACGCACGATGCCTGAGCGAGCAGGGGCTAGAGATGGCCGACAAGAGTGTAATCGCCAGCACCGACATGACCATGACCCGCACCATCTGCAAGCATGTGCGACAGCAAGGCATCGATATCAAGGCGGCGGCCAGTGGCCGAGACCCCGGACAGGATCGGGCAGGGCGCGCGCCAACGAGCAGACCGACGCACAGCAAGCGACGCCGACAAGCAGCATGACGCCTACGCAACATAGCACTGAAGCTGCGGCGACCATGAGCACAGAGCAAGAGAGCCCTGATCACGCAGGGCCCCATGGCCTCTTACCTTTACGGATGCAGAGTATACGGCGAGGCACCGACAGCGATTACGACAGCAAGACGACGGTGCGCCAGGGCATTGGGGAAGCGCTGGGCGGGCAGATGCCTCCACGCCTACCTCACCCTGGCGGACGCGGACCCAGCTACAGCCATCCTCCGAGGAGTGTTTACACTTGGTTCGACGTCTGGAGCCGTCGCGACCACCTACACCAGGGAGCTCACCAAGCATGGCCAGTTATTTACCAGCGCCTCCACAACGTGCCTCCCATCTACCGGTGGAAGCAACGACGAGGCCTCATTGGAACGGTCATACTATCACCATGGGAGATCGGCTGGGATGCAGTATCTCCGACAGAATGGATCGACAACCCGGGTCGCCTACCTATGGCAGATGGAAGACGGCGACCGCCGCGGGGACCCTGCCGACGTGATTCACGCCATTTTGGAAGCACATCAACTCTAGCACTGGGCCAAGGCACCCAATCATTGGCTTGGCAAAGGCTCCGGGTTCGGCATCGACACATACGACCTCAGCAGGAAGTTGCGGAAACTACGCGGGCAAGGGAAGTACCATGACGCGGGAATGTTGCAGGCAATAGCATGCGCGGCGAAGTGGGCACCAGAGCGCAAGCACCAGACGTTTGACAACACGGACAACATATGCGAATGCGGAATGGTATGCGACGACTTACAGAGTATGGGGCAAGTGCACGGCACGCGACGATGACCACGAGGACTACGTGAAGACCAACACGATGAGAGCGCGCGATCGAGGGCAGCCAGTACGTGCCATGCTTTTGGTTGAGAGGGCTGGTGCCACGAGAGCCGCCAGGCTGCACGGCCACCAACCAACCACTAAGCATCGGCAACGACGGCAGCACCGACGCCAGCACAGACGCCATCACAACCACCTGCGCTGACGGCAGCGGCGGGGGGCACGCCAGCGACCCGCGATACCGACGATGCGGATGGGGATGGACCATTTTGACGAAGGACGGCGGAACGTGGAATATACAGCAAGCACAGTATGGACCACTGCCAGGACGACGTCAGGCCAACAACCGTGCGGAGTTGTGGGCCATCGTCCAGGCGCTGAAGTCCACCCAAGGCAGAGTGCTCATCAGGACTGACTCGGAGCTGGCAGAGGGCACATTTCCCCAGAGGAGGAACGCCAAGAAGCAACAGGGACATCTGGGGCGCGATGGAGGACGCTCTCCGCCTGCGCAGCCCAGGCTCGAGGGCCCGTCAGAGCAGGTCGAGCTGCGGCACAACAGCAGCCACCTGGAGGCCGAGGAGATGATGGCGCTGCGCCTCGACGAGCAGGCATGGCTCGGCAACTCAGTGGCTGACGCACTGGCGGAGCGCGGTGCGGCGCAGCACGCGATCCCGAGGGCGCGGATGCGCATGTATGAATGGACACGAGCGACGGCTTCGCTCTTGTGGAAACGACTCCTCCGTGCCCATCTAGATGCCGTCGCCCGAGGCCCGTCGTCCCAGGAGGTCCAGGAAGCAGCAGGAGCAAGAAGGACTGGAGCTCGGAGGATGAGTGAGTTGAGCCAGGCCCTCTCCTCTACTCCCCACCGCCTCCACCCTTCCCGTAGCAGATGACAGTGTAGTTCGTGCAAAGAGGCAATCAGCAGCAAGTCTGGACTCACGACCATCAAAAGATGGCTTAGGATCTGCAAGCCCCAGCCCCCTGGGAACCCAAGGGCCCGCGGGGATGTAGGCACTAGGCACTGTGTCCAGATAGGTGCGAGATCAGCTCACCCTTCGCACACCATGGAGTATGCAGAGCATGCCTCCACGTGGTGGTGCAACATCTGTGGCCGTCGAGCCAAAGCGTCGGACGGGGGTAGTATCAAGGGGCTTTTCAACCCCTGCGGAGCCCCCACTAAGAATGGGAAGTGCGTAATTTCTCGGCTGTCTCGGGGTAAGGATATCCCGCACTAGTGCCCGTGCCCTGGTTTCTGAATCTGTGGCCCACGGGACCCGTGCCGCTCTAGGGGCCCCAAGTGCTTCGGGGCTCCCGACGCGGCACCCGCATAGGCGAAACTCGACATCGTCGACGCCGAAGTCTCCCGAATTCTCCTCCTCCTCCGCCAACTCCTCCTCCCGTTCCTCCTCCTTCGCCTCCGCCTACGACAGCGTCATAAGATCGAGGTCTGTTCAGGGAGTCGGGCGTGGCCAGGGCGAGGAAAGGTCCGTTCCAGCGCGTTCTGGAACGCTCTCTCAGAGCGTTCTGGAGCGCTCTGACAAGGCCGCGGCGCCCGAAATATCCTCCAGAGTCGCCAGATCTCAGAGAATTCTCGATTTATCCTCACCGGGTTTTATCCTCGTCCTGGCTTCGTCTTCAGGGAGGGTACCATAGTGCTCTTCGTGCGTGTTGGATGTGCTTGTGCATCCTGGGAGGTGGCACCCTTGATACTTTGGGCCGGCGATCGGGTCTCATGCTCTTGCAGGATTGTTCTTTTGCTGTGGGTCCGACTGTATCCGATCAGGTGCGATTCGAGTTGCGGGCTTGGGTCGCGATTGCGACTCGATTCGGCTCGGCTCGATGCGCCGGCATCGGCCAGGGCCAGCTGGTGCTGGGCGCGGCGAGGCGATCCCGCTTCGATTCTCGGGGCGCTTCGCTGGCAGTGCAGTCCGGATCCGACCCGTTCCGACTTCGCGATTCGGTCCAGCTCAGGCCTGCCAGTCTCGCGGCGTGGCCCTGGCCGGCCTTCACCACCCACCAAACCAGCCCAACCCAACCCGAAGGCCTCAATTTGCCCTCCATTTCCAGTGGGGGAGGGTCGGGGAAAATCGAGGAAACACATTTGGAACCCGTACCCCCCCCAACCCGAAACTCGGGTCTTCGGGTTGGGTTGGGGTGGTCTGGTAGGTAGTCAGGCCTGAGCGTGGGCGCTAGGACCCTGGGACGATGCGGATTTGTTGGAGGTCCCGCCGACGGTTTTCCCAGGGGCAGGTTTTCGTGCCGGATCCAGTTCTGATGGCCCCTGGCCCCGAAGACGGGCCCCGTGGGCTCGAGTGTGAGATCGACTGCAGAGTTTATCTACCCCAGAATTGTTCGTTCCCTTCGGATCTACAGCAGCAACGTGTACTGTAGATATACGAGCATTGTACGTTTCTTTTTCTGGTAGATTCGTATACATTCGACCGACAAAAACAAGTCTGGGGCAACTCGACTCTGTAGTCGGCCTCCTTCTCGAAGGGCCGACGTCGAGGCAAAGCCGCCAGTTGGAAACGTCAAGTCGCCAGAGGTCCGTCGAGGGCTCCCAAATGGGGTGGTGACCACACCGTGTGGTGAGTCGGTGGGGATTCGGGGTTACCGCACGGTTTTGGAACTCGAGTCCCTCTCCGAGGATGCCTCGGGCGACAGGGGGCCTCCGGGGCCGCAAGACCGTGCGGTGACGGACCGTGCGGCGAGGTCTTGGGGGATTCCGAGGTCACCGCACGGTCTGCCACTGCACCGTTTCGGGACTCCCAAAGTCCGGGGGCCCCCCCCAGCCAGCCTTAAGTGTGGCCTGTCCCCCTACAGGGGGATTTTCGACGTGAAATAAAAAATGTCCCCAAAATAGTCCAAGAATAGTCCAAAAATAGTCTGGGGACTACTTTGTGAGTATTTTTTGGCCTTCTTGGGGTATTTTTGGGGCATTTTTCATTCTTCGTCGAAAATCCCCCTGTAGGGGGACACGCCCGACTTAAGGCCAGCCCCAGCATGAGAGCGGCGGCGCCGCCCGGAGCTGGCGCACGCGCCCCGCGCCAGGCGAGTACCACGTGGGCGTCTTCTACGCCCAGGCGGGGCCCTCCGCGGGGAAGTTGCGGTTCAGCGACGCCCGCGGGCACAGCCCGCCGTTCGGCCGCACCTACTTCCATACGCCGAGGCGGGGCGGAGGAGGAGGAGGAGGAGGAGGAGGAGGAGGA